AAGAATAGATTAAATGATTAACATGGAGCACATGCAAACCAATCTCATCATTTACCTAGTTTGATATGGTCACTATCGCATTCTTTAAAGGTTGAGGCTGTGTAGCTAGCTCGAAGGTGGGCCTTCTTCCTTTACAGACTCCTACTTAGCTCACTCTGAAGAAGATCGTGAGAATACATTTGGATTCTAACTACAAGATGATCACCTAGCTCATTTCAATGACGAATGTGAGACCTCTATCCTTTGGTTATGGCTTCATCTCTCACGAAAATTCTTTTCTCTTTTCTCTTTCCTTAGTTTTTCACTTTTTATTTAGCTAGGGCAAATAAGTTATTTTAGTTGCAAAATTACTTACACCCTAGGACCAAGAGACTTCAAAATAATTTTGCTTATTTATGAAACCTGATTGTATTTAAGTCTCTTCTATAAAATCTCATTGTAATTTTTTCATATTTTTTTAATCGATAAAAAAATAATAAAACTTGCCGAGACAATCCAAAAGTTGACGTAATAATAAAACGGTATTCTTAAGAAATAATAGCAGTCCATTCTTACCTTAGCCTCTGACCTCTCACGCGATTTCGAATAGATATTATTTTAATAAGGGAGAACCGCACCTGCACCTCTAAAATGAAAAAAAAAAAAAAAATACATTTAGGGCCTAATATATTTTAAATTCTCCTCGCAAGCCCGAAAGTATCAAATACAAACTTGTTTTTTGTGAATTGACGCATTTAGCTTAAACCACAAGGTTAATGTGGAAAACTTATACGTTTGAGACAAATGTATCTTTTTACAAAAAATATATTGAAAAGATTTTATCAAAAGACTATTCAAATAAATTATTTATATATAAAAATTAATATAAAATTAATTCTAGTTACAATAGAAACATATGTGATTTGTTTTTTTAAATAAGACTTGTTATTAGTCATTATTTATGAATAATTTATTTGAGTGATTCTTGAATATAATTCTTACAAATATATTTGTGTAAGAACTAGGTAGAGTTAGTAATTTAGGTCAAGCCTAAATCAGCCCAAAAAAATTCAAAGCTAGCTTAGAAAAATATAGTTTTTTATTCTAAATAGGTTCGAAAAAATTTGGATCAAGCCCGATTGCTTGAATACCCAAATGAAGAAAGTTTATTTTTATAAAATATATAAAATATAATAAATATTAATCAATTTTTTAAGTTTTAGGTCATTTTATATTAAATTATCATTTGTTTAAGTCTTATATATCATTTAAATATCAAAAAACATATTTTATATCTTTTATAAAATAAAATAACTAATTTTAAAGTTAAAATTTATTAAAAAATGATTGTAAAAATAAAATTTAAATATTTAAATCGAGTTTAATTATATAGACCTTTTAAAGAGTCTGTTTATTAGAACTTGCTGGAATTTTTAGCTCTAGAACTGTGGGCCTTGGAGCTTGCTCAGAATATATTGGATTTTCAGTGTGATTTTTTTCCATTCTAAAAAAATTCTTGCTCTTCAATATTTATTGATTTATTTGGTTAGTTATAGTAATTGGATTAGAAGAGTGAAGAAGGGCTTGGGGGGGTCCATCAAGGACGACACTGCTCATTTGTCTTGCTAATCAAGCAACATAGCCTTCCACAGTGTACTTTCCACACAAATCATTTTCATTCATTATTGTCATGCCCCAAAAAAAAGAAAAAGAAAAACAAACCAATCATGATTCAACGCTCCTCCTAACCCATGTGATTTTCTATCATCCATTTTTCCCATTAATTATATATATATATATATATATATATATTGAGATTTCAATATGGGTGATGGCGTCCATTTTACTCAAAGTTTTTTTTTTTTTAACCAAAACATTTTACACAAAGTTGGAAGCTTTAATTTGCACGTTCTACTTAGGGGATGTGAGGTTTTAAGTAGTGTATATGTTATATCTAGGGTTAGATTGTATTTTGTTTTATTAGGGTTCGAGAGTAATTAATTAGAAATATAAAAATTATGTCAACTTGTTTATAAATTTAAACTAAATATAAATTTAGTTAAACTCACAAGTTGATCTTTTAAATTTATTATTTTTACATTTATAGTTTATAAAATTATATCAACTCATTTATAAGCTTGAATTATATGCAAATTTAATTAAGCTTGTTAAATTTATCAATTTTTTGTGAAGTTGCATAAGTTCAATATATAATGTGTAGAATTTGATTCATAAAAATAGGAGAATTCGTTTGGAAAAAAATAAAAAAATTAATATTAATAGAAAAGAAAATAAGAAATACCAAAAATAAGTAGTTGCCCTATGTTGCGTATGACAATCTATCAATGTAGATAGATTTAATATCAATGATTTAGATTTAAAATATATTTAAATTAAAATAAGATCATATTATATATTTTAATTATTTAATCATATATTTTTAATAATTACTTCTTCCATTAAAAAATATAAGGTATTTTTAGCCGAATCACATCCCAATAAAGTTGTTATCTATTTTCAAACTAACCCCATATTTTTATATTTATCTCTATTAAATATTCTACAATAAATATAAAGTTATTCATTAATAGGGATACTTAAAAAAAATAATAATAATTATACCTCGAAAGAATAAAAATACTTTACATTTTTAAACATCTAACTTCTCATAAAATATCTTACATTTTTTTAACAGAAGGAGTATTTATTAATATATAAAAAATTTTATGACGTTACGAGCCTAATTTATATTTTTATCATAAATTTATTTAAACTCAAGAATTTAATAACTTTAATTTTATACTGTATAAATTAAGAACAATAATTAAAAAGCCTGTTTGTGGGAGCTAACTGTGGGGAGTTTTAATTGGTTACTTTGCTTTTGAAGAGGCGGTGTGATGGCGGTTTTCTTTCTTATTTTTTCCCCACTTTACCAAGTCATGGATTACCGGTGGGAATGGGGAATTATGATTTAAGGGGAAAAAATGGACCAAGGGTCTCTCCATCTTCTCCCACTTCTTCCATCTCTATCATTTATATTATTTTATTAAATAAATTTTTTAAAATTATAGAATTAATGAATTGTTGAGATGAGAAAAGTGAAGGGAAATGGAGAAGTTCCAAAATGGATGATTTATTTTTTTTTATTATGGCAAGGATTTAAGATAGGAAAGAGGAAAATTAATATTTATGAAATATAGACTTCTAATTCAAATTTTATTTGGATTCAATGAGTAGCCTATAAATATTTCAATTATAATTATTATATTTTATTAATAATTTAAAATGATAAAAAATACACTTCCCATAAAAATATTAAAAAAATCATATTTATGATTAAAATTATAATTGTCAAACTCTTGACTCTTTGAATTTGATGTTTTTACTTTTCTAACACATAAAATCGTGATAACTTACTCATAAATTCAGATTAAATATAAATTTAATTAAATTCTCAAGTTTACTTGCGAGTTTACCGCAATTACATTTCTAGCTTATCAAACAGTGTCAATTAATTTATAAACTCATACTAGATACAAATTAGGTTAAATTTGTTAAGCTTATCGATTTTTTTTACTGAGTTGTTAAGTATATACTACATAAAATTTGGTTCATAGAAGTAATAGGGCCCGATTTAAACAGAGAAAAAAACTTAAAAAGAAAAAACTAATATTAATAAAAAAATAAAAAATACCAAAAACTAATTGCTTTATTTTAAAATTTTTATGTTTTAAATTAAATTATAATTATATTTTATATTTTAATTATTTAATTATAATTTTACGATTCAAGTTTGGGATTTAAGTTTATATTTCTGAATCACAAGTTTATTTGAACTTTCGACGATCTTTCCAGCCTCTCAGCCCTCATGTTTGATACTTTTTGTGCACCGTAATAACAGAGAGATAGAACCAGGGAAAAAACCAAAGCCTGATTTTCTATATGCTGCAGTAACAAATAGATAGAAGTAAGCAAAGTCAATGTGGCCTTTGTGAACAATTGACAAGATCTTGACCATCTATCTTATCATATCTCTTAAAGTTTTGATTGCGCTAAGTGAGACGATGTCGTTTTAATATTTGCGGTTAGGTTTTAGGAGTATTGATCTGCCTATTTTCTGCTAGAGACCGCCAGCATGTATAACGTGGGATGGCTTCTTAACTTACCCGAAGTCTTAAGGTGAAACGTGTAGAGAGAGAGAGAGAGAGAGCAGCTTTATGAAAAACCGGACCCTGATTCTCTGCGTGCTACCATAACAGAAAGATAAAATTAAGAAAAACCAACCCAGCTTATATATATATATATATATATATATTTAGCATCAATATTTTTAAGAAACGCACCAAATAACGAATCGAAAATGTTTATGGATTATGGTTCTCATAATTTAATTAATTAGATCAATAGCTAAATCAGTAATATAATAATAAAATAAAAAATAGTACTCATATGCATATGTTATAAACATTAAAAATAACATACTAAGTTTTAATTTATTCATTTTTTCATATGTATATTTTTTTTATCCTATTTGTCTTGTTTTCAATTTTTTCCTACAATTTAATTCATATAATACCAATAAATAAATCATGAGCTCAAAATTTTATTACTAAAAAAAAACGATAAGGGGTTTAATCATTTTGGGTTTCCAAATTAACTCTGGTTCTATTAAAATTGTTACGTTTCAAAAACAGTCCAATCCCTAAAACAGGTTGATAAGTTAAACCATGCGCTTATTTGGTCCGGGCCTTAAAACATTTTCCAGTACACACTGTAAATCTTGAATATACTCTCATTAAAAAGATCTCGACCGTCTATCTTACGATATCTCTGGTTGGTGTGAGATGTCATTGAGTACATTACGCGGGGACGATGTCGTTTTAGTGTTTTTGGTTAGGTTTTGATATTATTGGTTTGCCTTTTTCTACCGGAGGCCGCCTACGATCATAACACGAGACTCTCTGTGTTTGTGTGTGTGTGTGTGTGTGTGTGTGTGTGTGTGTAGAAGCGGCTTGGTAGAGGTAGACCCACCTTTTGCTTTCAATATGTCCTTTGTGTGTGTGCAGGCTTCAGTTAAAGACTTCACAAAAGTAGACTACTGGCCGGAGATGCATTTCTGATAGTTTTCCATTTCCATTCTTAAAGCTGCTTAGCTTCTTCCTGGTTTATACCTCAACCTCATCTCTTGCTCTCTCACTACGTCACCTTCTTCTCTTCTCTCTCCTAATCCTCTAGGTAAATATTCTCTCTTCTGATCTCATCTTTCACAATTAACATTCACCACCAGTTTCACTTCATAAATCACCACCACCTTCTTCTTCTTCTTTTTCTGAATCTAATAACTACACATCTGAAGAAACTTACATATATAGGACCAAACTGATGATTCTTAGCCAAACCCAAAAAACACCAGTGGGTGTGTGTGTGTGTGTGTGTGTGTGTGTGTATTCTTATTAATTACTGATGAGATTAATTTTTGTGGGGAATTAATTCGCAGTGGTGATCTAAAGTAGAAAGAAGAGAGAAAAGTGGGACATGCTTGGCGAAGGATGAGCAGTTTGAAGAACTCTGATCTGATAGACGCCAAGCTGGAAGAGAATCAGTCGTGTGGATCCAAGCAGTGCCCTGGTTGCGGACACAAGTTTCAATCCAAGCCTGTATGCTTTACTTCTCTATTATATATTCTTCTTTTAAATTTGCCTTTTGAATCATTTAATTTGAATCCGTGTTCTTCTTCTTCTTCTTCATCAGGACTGGGTGGGTCTACCAGCAGGAGTTAAATTTGATCCAACAGACCAAGAACTCATAGAACACCTCGAAGCCAAAGTCGAATCCAACCACATGATCAAATCTCACCCTCTCATCGACGAGTTCATTCCCACCATTGAAGGCGAAGATGGAATCTGCTATACCCATCCAGAGAAACTCCCAGGTACACACACACACACACACACAAACACTAACACAGATCTATAGATTAGAGTGATTGATTTGAGTTGAGAAATTACATATATATATATATATATATATATGTATATGTATATTGCAGGAGTAACAAGGGATGGATTGAGCAGGCACTTCTTTCACAGGCCATCGAAGGCATACACGACAGGGACGAGGAAGAGAAGGAAAATCCAGAACGAGTGTGACTTACAAGGAGGAGAGACAAGATGGCACAAGACAGGAAAAACCAGACCAGTTCTGGTGAATGGAAAACAAAAAGGTTGCAAGAAAATCCTCGTACTGTACACAAACTTTGGGAAGAACAGAAAGCCTGAGAAGACCAACTGGGTGATGCATCAGTATCATCTGGGACAGCACGAGGAAGAGAAAGAAGGAGAGCTTGTCGTCTCCAAAATATTCTTCCAGACACAGCCCAGACAATGCACCACCACTACCAACAACAACAACGTTAACACTGATAATAATAATAATTGGTCGGCGGCGGCGGAGAGAAGCACGACGACCGGTGAGGCGAGCGGAGATCAGCCGAACAGTAATAGTAGGAGAGAGAGTACAAGTGGAAGTTGTTCTTCTAAAGAGATAGTCACTACGACGACTCATCACTCTCATCATGACGTCTCTAATACTGTTGCCGTTGGTGTTCCTCCATTAACGTCCTTCACTGCTTTGGATATTCATCACCACCTCAAATCCGACCATTTCAGCTTCATCCCATTCAGAAAAACCTTCGATGAGGTATTTGGCCTGTGCATCTATACATATATATTTATATATATGTATCACTCTAAAAGGTGAACAGATTGAGTCTTTAGTGTAGGTGGTGATGACATGGAGATATAAGCACCTGATTTGAGATCGTATATCAGTGTCAGCTAACCACCACTTCTTTAAACCCATTTGCCAAATTGAAATATTGCAACTGAAATGCTAACATAAAAATGTCACTGAATAAAGATGTTTCTCTTTATTTCCTTTTCTTTTCATATCTTTATATATAATCTTAGACCTTAAGTAACATTATTTAAAAACTAGCGTAAAGTTGATAGCTCTGGCTAGAGCTAATTAACATCTAGATCACGAGAATGAGAATGAGAATGGAATAACTGGCTAGCTAGCTAGTTGTGGATCTGAATGAATGGTGTGAAATTGCAGGTGGGAATAGGAGCTGCTTCGAGAGGAAGAGAAATGGTGCAGCCTTCAGGTTCATCAGGAGAAGGGAATCATCATCATCTTCATCATCATCAACATCATCAACAACAACAACATATTGCAGAAAATAATAATACAGCATTTCATCATCATATCAGTAGGCCTTCACATCCTATTTCTAACAAAATCTCTCCACCTCCTCCTTCACACCTTACCTCCGTCATCCTTGACGATGTCACCAGATTAATGCTCCAAAATGATCATTTCCAGGTAGTAGTTTACTTCTTAGACATGTTTATCTTTTTACATGTGTATATTATATGGAACTTGAAGAGCAGAGCTGCAGAACAAGTTATCATAACTTATAAACAGTGCAACTTTTGCGTTACATATTATATATATGATTAACCCAACCAAATTGCTTCTAAAACATGCTTATCTTTTTATATCATTCATGAGACTGGTGAGCCATATGAACTTGTGAATAGTGTGACTTGTTATGAATCATATGCACATAATATGGGTAGAGACAGATTTTTTCCCCCCTCCAATCAGTTTTCATTACTGAGATCAAACATGTTTGTATTTTTATGAGAGAAAATGGAATGAGTCTGCAGGCTTGTGCTTTTTTATTTTTGTTTAATTTATCGTTGCTCGTGAGCAACATGATGATGAATAACATCATGTGTGTAGTTTGAATTTGATTGTTTTGTCCTTTAACCAAATTTAAACTTTTGGTAACTCTATCATATGGGTAATAAATAATTGTTTACATGCTTACATGCTTCACTCATGGCAGCAACATCATAAACCAGAAGGAAGGTCTGCGTCTGGCTTGGAGGAACTAATTATGGGATGCACTACTTCAACTAATTCTAAAGAGGTATATAAGTTTAGACCTCTTTTTTTTTTTCCCTATAATTGAAAACACAGACTTTGAGTGTCATATAATAGTACCCACATTACAGAGAGAGAGAAAAGATATTTATTTAATATAAGAACTTCCACAAAAGAAAACAAGTAGTCAAGTTAAATCCAATGTTTCTTACAATACTAATTTTTAGATATTAAAGGCTATAACAAGCTTTAATTCATTCTCTCTCTCTCTCCATGTGTTCTCCTTCACTCCCTCCGTTTTTAAAAAGCATTTTTTTATGCAATATTATCAAGCATTTTTAATATAATTAAATATTTAATGAGTTGCTCCACTAGTCCTATTTATAAGGTAGGGAGAAGATTAACTTTGGCCATATTTGTAGGGCATTTCATTATTTTCTATATCATCTTTACTATTTTTTCCTTATTAAATATTAGAAAAAACTATCAAAAAAAATTCTTTTTGTCCTTTTTAAGGGTAGAGATGAAAAATTATTAAATTTTAAAATATAGTTAATATTTTCTGGCCAAAAGATAGAGTTAATGAGGTTTATTTTTTTTTTCTTTCAATAAAACATGCTAGAAGTAACCTATAAATAAAATAAGGAAGAATAGTTAATTGTCTTTAAAATTATTAAATAGGGTGTCTTAATTAAAAAACAATATTAATTACACCCTTATTATATTATATATTGAAAGATTTAAAATGTCTTATGTTTTTAATATTTTATCTAAAAAAAATATTTGAAGGGAGTACCATTTTTTTTTTTTTGAAGCATAAACCCTAAAACTTAATTAATATTACATGCTGTTTTGCAGGATTCATCTATCACACATTATCCACAAGAACCAGAATGGTTGACGTACCCTTCATACTGGCCTGATTCTGACAATCCAGGTCATCATCATCAGTAGAGAAAGAGGGAATGAAATTAATAGAAAATAAAACAAATAGAGACAACATTATGATCAACTTCTTCTTCATCATTAATACGTGAAGCTCGCTCAAGTTTCTTTCATTTTCAAAGAGGAACTTAAAAAAAAAAAAAAAAGATAAGGCCAAGAAATTATACTGTTTTTTTTTTTTCTTTTGCGTTCTTTAGTTCTCTCGTTGGGGCTTGTCTCCCAACGGAACAAGTTGGGAAGTGAGAGTAAGAGAAAGAACAAATTAAAGTGAAAAGAATGAAATCAAAGGAAAGAAAAAAGAAAGGAAAAGAAAAGAGAAACCAAGAAAGGCTGCTCTTTCTCTCCCCTTCTTCTGACTCACACAAGGGAGAACCAAAGACCCAAACCTGTATGAAAATCATCAATGTTATTATTAGATCATCATCTTTATTTTTATTTTTCACATTGTTTAATTATTTTAAGAAGTTTGTATATTTCTTCTTTCTTTTTTTCTTTTTACACCAGAAATACAAATACCAATGAGTTTTTGCAAAATGCAAACAATTCATCAGTTATTTTTGTGCTGTACTCAGCTTATAGCTAGTCCATCTTTTATTTTATTTTATTTGTTATAGCAATTAAATCATGAATTAATTGTGCAATTATATTTCTCAAATGCTAAACCTCCCAAAGAGTTCGCCATCACGTTGGTTCTTCACAACTTCCCATTTTTCTTTTCACATTTATTTTAAAGTAATCGTATGGCTTTATCTTTCTCCTTTAGAATTATTATAAGTACTTTACGTATTGAAGTTGTAGCCTCCAGCGTACCAAGAATTTCAAGGTTGAATTTAGTCTCCTCATCAAAAACTAGGAAAACTTAAATATAATTTTTTTCATGTTTTTATTACTGAGCATGCAATCGAAGTTGATTTACAAGTACTTAATAGCACATATCGTATCCTTGTTGAATAATAATTTCATTTGTAAACACTTAAGAGTTTAATTCAATATAATTTATATAAACTTGATGAACGCATGCAGATTGATGGATTTGGTTTTAGATTTTAGATTTAAAATCTTGTACTTGAAATTTAAGCTTTTAAAATTTTTTATTTGAATAATTTACAAAATTTCAAATAAAGAAGAGAGATGAATTGAGATACGAAACAAAAATAAAATTAAAAATGATGATTTTATTTTTATTTTTTAATCGATAAGATATGAGAAAAGATACAATATTTAAAGTGATTAGAATTTTAAATGACTAGGGTGTAAGGGAAATTTAAAATTACAAAGGAATTAAAATTTAAAATGGATTTGGATTTAAATTAAATCCAAATTCATAAATTTTTGCATATTGAAAGGAGGGATTTAGTCCAAATTCAAAACAAAATCTGAATTTTTATTAATCCAAACACATCATTAGTGTGTAGTGTGTTTGTGTGTGTACACAGTTGCATTGTGAATGTGTGTGTGTGTGTGTGTGTGTGTGTGCGCGCGCGCGCGCGCGCGCGCGCGCATAGGCTTGCTCCGTTGATACCAGTTATATGTATAAGTAGAACTTGATGAACTGTTATTCATCTAAGCACCAGTTATTAATTATATCTTCACAATAATGCTTATTGCTTCATGATTCAACCAAATGATTCTTTATTTTCCAGTGAATAAGTTTCGGATAATTATTTACTAAGTTAGGATTCTCTTGAGTATCATAAATCTACTTACTCAATCAGTATCTCGATTGTATATAACAATTGAATTTCATCAACACTTAAAAATTATTAATATATATTTCCCTCTAAAAGGAAGACCCCTCACATACATTGCCCCTTCTAAAAATTTTACATTTCATGCTTTTTAAGTATTGTATGATAAAAAATCTCTAATAACAACGTGTTGCATGAGACACTCATTTAGTGAGTGAATTTGTATCATTCAATCACTCAATGAGTGTCGTGTTTTTCTTTTCTCTCAAGAGGAGGATACCCCTCCCCCCAAATTTGAGATTTGGTGTTTTTTGAGTATCATATAATACAATCTCTAATAATATCATGTCACATGAAACACTTGTCAATCGAGTGAATTTGTGTCTGAATAACTAATTTTGTGCAAAGGAAAAGATGGAGCCCAAGTTTAAATTTCATACTGAAACCCATTGGAATAGCCTTTGATGTGTGTGTGTGTGTGTGTGTGTGTAGTAATATATAAAGAGTTTTTAATTTCTTCATCCTTTTGTTGAGGTTTTGAAGAGGAAAGTGGGGCAGTAGTATATAACTAAATAGCAGACAGAAACTTCTTTATTGCTTTATTCTGCGGTAGATTCGAGCTTCCCTTCAGTATTATTATGAGACTAAAGATGTTCTTATCGCATCACACACACACACACACACACACACAGCGTGGGTGTTATCTTTTTCATGGGACATGCATGCAATAAAGCTAAGAAAATGAACAAGAAGAAGAAGAATGAAGGACAAAGGGCAGCTTCATGTTAGTTTCACGAGACAGGGAATAAAGGGATCAATGAGAGAAGACAAGAATAAACTTTTTACCTTCCCTTTTCTTTTCTTTTATTTTATATATATATATATATATATATATTTCTCCTTTCTTTTCTTCTTGATTTTTTTTTTTTTGACCTTTTTCATGTGAATAGCATCTTCCCATTGTCCCAGTTCCTCCCTACCTAACTCACACTTCATCGATGCACATAGCTAAGCTACGTACCCCATCATATCATTATTAATTGGTTTGAATGGAAAACTCTACCAAAATTGGAGCCAACTTTGGATCTCTCTTACTATCAAGTGGTGGCAGAATCTTTGTCAGAAGTAACATATTTATTTGCTCAAAATATAAACAAAGTTAGAATGACACAACACACACATATTGGTTGGGGTTGGGGATGATATATATATATATATATATATGATTTGTGGAAGATGAGGTGTGTGTTTGGGCATAAAATTTAAAAGAAAGCCCTAAAAAGGTGATATTAAGTTCCTTCACTTTATAGGAAGATTTTGGATTAGAGAGAGAGAGAGGTGGGTTAGGGTTTGGGTGTGAGCAGAGAGATTTGGTGGCGTAAAGAAGAGGCAGGAGGAATGGAGGGTAGTGCGAAGTGGAATATAACAACATGCCTATCTGCCTTTTACTGATTCTTCCACATGGGCCCCATTTTTGGGCCTTCTTTCATTTTATAGGGCCCCACCACTTTTTTTGTCTTTTAGTGCTTGCCCACAACTACCATTCATTCCCCCTTGACTCTACATAATTCCACATCTCACATTATAGCAATTTTATGTTCGTTTTTGACTGGTCCAGTGCCTCTATTAAATTAAAATTGGAAAAAAATTGAAAAATGTTAATCTCTCCATTCAAAAATGTAAGATATTTTTTAAGAAGTTAGATGTTTAAAAATATGTAAGGCATTTTTAATCTTTCGAAGTATAATCATTACTTTTTTTTCAAAAGTGTTTTTATAAATAATGATTTTATATTTATTGTAAGATGTTTAATAGGAGTAAATATGAAAAGACATGGTTAATTAAAAAGTAGGTAACTACTTTATTGGGGTGAGATTTGGTTAAAAATGCTTTACATTTTTGAACGAAGGGAATATAATTCAACAATATGTTTTTGTGTCCTTGAATTAAAAAAATAGAAAAGGAGTTTTTTGGTAATAAATAATAAAGGGTAGAACATACCAGCATATTTGTCGTTTCTCATGCAATGAAAAGAGTTTTTATTTTCTTACCACCGAAATCCCCCTAATTATGGTTTTATTGAGCTTTACTAGTCACTTCAAAACTGCATTGTTCCTTGCTAAGATGAGCATTATAATCATCATAATTTCACTTGTTTATCTCCATTAATTTATGAGATAGTCAAATCAACGACATAAAAGCAAGATTCTTGATCATTTCTTTTAGTTGTTTATAATAATCACCAAGTGCATGGCCCTAGCTTTTCTGTTTATAGCAAACATGGGTGTCTCTTCCTTCTGAATGGAATGATCTTTGAATGGTGTGCTGAGGCCACATTCATGAGTTTGGACTTTACCAAGTTGTGGACCACATCCCAATTTAATTGTTTATGGTCTTTACGATGCCCAAATTCAGAATTTATGGGCTTACGCCTTTTTCAGCTACAGAGGGAATTGGGCTTAACCTGTTATCATATGAGTGAACTGTACCTAGACTTAGCATGTGTGCATATATTCCACAGTAAAAAATAAAATAAAATAAAGCAAACAAACAAACGTGTGCATGTATTTGGGTGAGAGCAGTTACAATATATTACAACTTACAAGGTAATCATAGAAAGGGAGAATTATTTTAAGATCCTACTTAAAACAATTAATTACTCTTATATTTATTGACAATTGAGTTTAGAAAAATAATAAAACAATTAATTACTTCTTGGTCCATGAATAATTGAACTTAAAAAGTGTTGTCATTTTTTTAAATTCAATTATCAATAAATCTAAGAGTCATTAATTGTATTGGGAGGAACTTATTTCTCCCAAATAATAAATGTTATAGCTACATAAATATGAACTCTAAAATTCAAGTCCATGTGAATATTGAAAAGGCAAGATTTATATACTTAACTTTATGTACTTAATATATTTATATCCAATCACATCATAGCATATGGATCTTAATATATTAGTTTAATCAATAACTAGAATTTATTATAAAATAAATAATTTATAAAAGATCAACAAGTTCTAATTTAATTGAATACAAACACCTCAAGTATGTAATATAAAGTATAAGTTTTTTCCATCTTGAAAATACATTTAAAAGAACTATCTTTAATTCGGTCTGACAATAATCGATTATAACTCTACTAAATAATCTTACAAAAAAGTATTACAAATTTACAATGTAAGGTATATAACGGACAAAGTACATTCAGAAGCTACAACAGCAGTATCTGCTACATTTTTTGCAACTTGCACAGTTTTCGAAGGCCTAAAAATTGGAATCCATAGTTTTGTATCAGCAAATACATTCCCGTATTTTTTTTCTCTCTCTGGATACAATTAACAAGACAGTCAAAACTAAACACTATAAGAAGATCAGGTTGTAGGAGCTGCTTGGGGTCGATGCACATCGATGCACAAGATATTCTCACACTCTAAAGGTAGCTCAGAAAGCAGTATAACAAGAGCTCGCTGCACCAACCAATCAACACAACTATTATCTTGTCTAAAGATGTGCTCATAATTGACACCTTGACAATTTAGTCAAGTACGATTAAATCTCTTCATGAAACCACCTATCCACCTTCCATTCTCATCTTGAAACATGCCAGAGTAGCTTCACCTTTTGAGTCCTCAAAGCCATCCATATCAAGATGTAACCTTACCGCTTCGGGTGGTTTCCAGCTAGAGTTCTGATCCTATTGTGCAGTTTCCTGTCTACTCTTCATAACTTCAATCTTAAGTCTGCTGTCACTATATGGGTGCTGAATTGCTGATGAAGGGGATATCCCCTTCAAGGCCAGTGCCAATGTCATAAGGATTTCACTTGGATTAACAAGCATGTAGCAGATACATTCGCTGAATAAAACGGAATAACATTTGACAAAAAGTGACTAATGATCTATATACAAGCAGAGCTGCAAAAGTTGTTTCACCAGACTCTTCCTATACGTCCTCTTTTCACGTAACAGTTGTGTACCGACTCAGGGAGGTGGGTGTGAACAAACACCACTTATTTCCATGATCATCTTCTGCACAGGCCACGTTCTGTATATATATTCATGACAAGCAAGCTTAGCAAGCACGTGCCTCCGACAAAGGCAGCCGCCGAGTCACTGGTATGCTGTAACCAGAAACTTTTAATGACGCGAACAGGCAAGATAGCTTCGATATCATGGGTTTTGACTTTGTCTTTGGCACTTTGGGAACAAGGGCAAGCTCCATACCAGCATCGACTGTGTGATGGTAACCCTCAAGATCAGCTTTGGTTATAAGAACTGCATCACCTAGGGGAGAGTGTGGCCTAGGGCAAGGTCTGCGCTTGCTATAATTCTGAACTGCCTGCTTAATATATCCGTGAAAAAATTACGTTTAAAAAAAAAAAACCAAGAAATACTCTAATGAAAAACTTACAAACATAAATGGCCCTGTACCTTCCACTGTGAGGGTGCTAATAGAACTCTGGGTCGTCTTGATCGTACATATTCCAGGGCAGCAAGAGGTGTCATATGCTTGTATTCAACCTACAAGACATAAGTGGACCATGAGGGAAATAATTGATACCTATATACTTCAACCAGAACCACAAGTGTAATTGTAAGATAAAATTACCAAATAGCAAAGGACAATTGTTGTACTCCTGCCCCGCCCAGCTTTACAGTGAACATAAGTAGTCTTTCCACATGTTGCATTCTCTAAGATCAACAGAAAAAGATTTATAAGGCAAAGGAATATGTCCAATCAAATAATGAAATCAATAATAGTTGAAACTTTAACACACCCTAAAGGCTAAAAGGGAAGGGGAAAGAGAACTCACGATGAATGAATTGCACAGCTCGGCTTATATCAATAAATGAAGGGGCAAAGAGATAATCCCTTGTAGGGATAATCAGATGATCGATCCCATGTGCCTGAAGTACATAACAAACAAAACATTAGCATTTTTTATTTATAAAGTATATACTCAAGAGGTTATGACAAAACTGTTCTTATTTTGTTTTATGTAAGAAAATTAAATATACCATATCCGTGCTCAACTGAGAAACATATATACTGTGAAGCTAACAAGTGTGCAAATTTCCTGGCTAGCCACGCCCTCACAATGAACCTTGGTGAGCTTCGTCTTTTGATTTTTGATGATTGTATAGGGGGCACCGCCCCAAGAGTCCAAGACTTGCACTGTCTAAGCCTTTTAGCTCTCCTCTTGTTATTATTAAGACAAAATAAAGGTATATTGTATCCATTTAACACATAATCTACTCCTTGGACATACAAAAATTTTCAAACTGTATAATATTCAGTATGAAGGCTTTCGATATAACATGAGCATAGCATAACACGCAAGAAAAAGAGCAAGTTAGAAGAAAAAATGGACTAACGCTTACAAGATATAATGATGACGGCACCAAGGTTTCATAAGGTTCGTTTAGAGTAATTACACCACCCACACCAAGCTTCTTCAAGCGTGGAACGTCTTTGGGGAACGGAACAGCTCCCAATAATAAAAACTGGAACCACAACAGAGGAAATTAATAACACTGCCTGAATCATTTTCAGCCAAACAAAACACGGAAACACCGATAGAGGTATAAAGGGGGAAAAACAGCAGCAGCCAATCTACTTGAGCGCCCCATCGTTCGTGTTAGGGAGAACCGTATACAGTACATCTAAAGAATGAGAGATTTTTAAGTTTTATCTAGAAATTAGATTTCAATTTTTTTAATTAAAAAAATCTATCCAGCTGTGGCTCAAAAACAGGAATGCATTTAAAATTTGCAGCAACTGTTTTCCTTGGCCTTCAATTCACTTTCACAAACCAAAATTGTAGAACTATCATTTCTTTTTCTTTTTCACTGATCAATCATCAAATAAACCCAAATTAAGCTACCATTTCAGGATTGTATGCATAAAAAATTGAAGCACATCGAACAATTAACCCCTCTTAACACAAAAACCAAAACTAAATATACTTTTAACCTAATAAATTCACGCAAACAAAACACTGGAAAGGGGTTTACAAAAACCGTATTGTCAAAAAGGTGAATATGTATCAACGACGAAAAGAAAATAGTAATAGCATCAGTGAGATCAAAACCTCATCGACTTCATCCCACCAGCGGAACTCAGCTTCAATCTTGTTTCGAAGCACATTATACAAAAGTGTCGGGTAAAACAAGATCCGGGCACCTGCTCCAACTAATGCTCTCTTTGCGTCAACCCTCACGATCTGCCTCTCGTAATTCCCTTGGCTCCGACAGCCATCCGAATCCACATCGTCCAATTCCTCGATCCTCATCCCACACAGACAGATCAAAAACCCTAAAACCAACCACCACCAAATTCCAAGGGCCAAATTCACAAACTGAAACCATAACAGCCGGTGAAAAACAAAACGAAACAAGCTAAAACCAAAATTTCAGGGGAGGACAATCGCTTACGAATGACTTGAAAATCAGGGAAGATCCGTGATCGGCGAGAATCGGTTTCTATGGAAGAAAAAAAATATGAACAAGCAAAGAATAATTGAAGAACCGAATCGGTGAGGCGATCAAAGCATTCCCGAAGGAAGAGGGAGAGTCAGAGAGAGAGTGGAGAGTAACACAAAGTAGGTACTATAGAGAATCGGATAATTGAGTTGAACGTCCAGAATAAAGTAGAACTGTATGAATAGTCAAATGTTAGAGTAGAGAAACTCGAATGGAGATGCCCTAGGAATTTGGTTGATTTACGATATATGCCACTTGCGGGAGGCTGATGAAGAAAAGACGACAATTCGTATTTTGGTAATTTTGCATGATGACTTTATGGAAACAGGAAAATGGGACCGAATAAATGAATTCCTTTCCGTTTAGAAATTTGTTGTTGAAAACCACAAGGTTCCGTTCACACTCAGGCCATGGCTTTATCATTAAAGTCTAGCTTGTAATTACAAGTAGGCGTGGCACATATGTTAACCGTCTAACCATTTAAATATCATTCTAAAATTTAATTTTTGAAATTCCCTTAAATAACACATTTTTTAATATGATATATTTTTTTAAAAAAATGATATTAAAATATTTTTAAATTATCTAAATAATATTTTAATCTCTCAAAATGTCATAAATTCTTTAAAGTCGTTGGAGACTTTTCTATTATTAAAGAACTAATGTAAAAGATTAAATACCTTTGATTTAAATAAAAATTCTAAATCTCAAAACAGACACTTACGAATTGCTGTTGAATTCTTATGGTTTTAAGAAGAAAAATTGTGAATATTATAACAAAACTTATAAATGGTAATTGTTATTTGTAACACTTGAAAAATATCATGATTTCAAATGCGAACTTACAAACTGTTGTTGAATTTTTGCCAATTTAAAAAAAAGTTGTGAATTTTAAAACAAAACTTGTGGATGACAATTGATATTTACAACACTTGAGGAATATCATAATTTTTAATGTGAACTTGTGAATTGTTGTTAAATTTTTGCAAATTTAATAAAAAAATTTGTGAATCTTAGAATAAAATTTATGAATAACAATTGATATTTGCAACACTTAAAAAATATTAAAAATTCAAATGCAAACTTATAAATTGTTATTGACTTCTTACAATTTTAGAAAGAAAAATTGTAACTTTTATAACAAAACTTGTGAATCAAATGCATGAAGTATCTATTTTGAGGTTTAGAATTTTTATTTCAATCAAGGGCAATTTAGTTTTTGATATCAATTCTTTAATGACAAAAAAATCTTAAGGATGTTAGAAAAATTGTAACATTTTAAAAGACCAGAATATTATTTATATAATTTAAATAGATTTTATTATATTTTTTCCTATTTTTTATTTAATTGTTTGTTTATCACTGAATTTCATACATATTTTAGATTATATTTTGATTTGATTTGAATTTGAAATTATAAATAATACTTATTGCACACGAACTTCAATTTTAATTTATTTTTACGATTACAAATAGGTTTTATATAATAATTTATTATTTTATTCTTTCACAACCATTTATTTTTTTATATTACTGTCGACGTGAAATAAAGAGAATTATTCTAACTTATTAGCATATTCTTATTACATTAGTCTTCTCAACACAATTTAAGTAAGAAGAATGATAATTAAGTCTTAAAATATTAAATTAATGACAGTTAAGTTTTTGATAAAAGTTTTAAAAATTAGGTTGAAAATACCAATCTAAATTGTTACAAATCTAGAAATTTCAATTGCAAGTAAGTATTTAAATATTAAATATAACTATTAGATTATAACAAAAAATTTTATTTGTAATTGTTTGAATTGATATTTATAATTTACTTTGCAAAAAATTTTGATAGGAATCTAACTACTCTCTCTGTTCAAAAATATAAGGCATTTTTAACTGAATCTCACCCTCTAATAAAGTCATTACCTACTTTTCAACTATCTCTCTCTTTTTATATTTACCTATTAAGTACCTTATAATAAATATAAAGTCGTTATTAATAGGGACATTTTTTAAAAAAAGATAATAATTACACCTTAAAAGACTAAAAATGTCTTACATTTTTTAACATCTAACTTTTTAAAAAATACTTTATATTTTTAAGGGAGTGATCATTAATTTATTTCTCTGAAATTTAACCGTCATTGTCCCATTTAGGTAATGCATAGTAAAAGCAAAAGGAATTTTTTAGGAAGAATATATAGTTCTCATAACAAAATTAAATATTATAATTAAGGTTTATTGTTAACTTAGTATGACAAAATGACAACTATTTACTAAATATTTTTAATTTATGTACTAAATTGTTAACACAACCTGTGGCATTTAATTGTATTGTAAAAGAATTTGGGTATAGTTCTCTCTCTTTTTTTTTAATCAAAAAATACATGGTATAGGATGTCATCAAGGCATTCAATTTGTTAGGTTTAGTTAAATTAACTCTCATACTATATTTGAACTCTTAGATTTTTTAGTGCATGAACTTAATATTCTTGAAATAAGATTAAAATTTTAAATCTTATAAAAAAATCACATTACATAAAAATTCGAGTTAGTTGTCCCTTTTTTTTTTGGCCTGGAGTGTTAGATTAGATGTCACATGAGCTTAACTAAAGTGGTAAGAATAGAGTTAAGTATGAGTAAAAGTCCATAAGTCTAAACTTTTAATTAATGTGCTTAAAAAGAAAAAGAATTAGTCTCACTTAGATCTAATCATACTCAAATTTAACTTATTAATTAATACCAAATAGAAAGTAATTGCATAAAAAAATAAAAAAGTAAAGGAACATTTATTCTAGTATCCATACATTAAAAAATAACCCTCATGAATTCTAGTTTTTTTTCCTTAATTGTTTGGACAAAGAACATTGTGATTTTGTTTTCCTGGCCTCTTTGAACCCTTGTGAATTCAAATATATTAGACATAACATATTATAATATTATGTTTAGTTAAAGTTTTGATGATGAAAAATATAGTTTAGTTACTACGTGTATGCACAACATAATGATATATATATTTATTATAATGCATATTAATATTTAAACTAACCACTTTATTTGTCATATATTATTGAAGGTTATTCATTGTGAGTGAGCATGAAGAGAAAGCCATTAAAGTTATCATTAGCATGTTTCACTCATGAATGGAGAATATAAAGATAAAAAGAAAGATTATTCAAAAAAAGTTTAAGTGAACAAAGATATAAAAGCTTGGATCCATCATAGCCTTGATCTTGATGGATATAATATCTTTAGGCTATCCAATCTTTATATTAAAATTATTATTTTTATATGCATTTATTTTAAATCTTAACACGCATTTTGGTTTTAAAATAAATAGTGAGACATAAAATTAATCTTGTTTTTAATCAGTTAGATCTCACAAGATTTGAAAATATTTTCTCTTAAATATTATATGAAAACTAACTATATAAAATTTCTTAAAAATTATATTTACTCAAAATGGATTTATGTTATTAATACTTTGAGTTTTTGATTTAAGTGTTCTAGAGAAACTAGGTTTAAACCTTTAAAATTTTTATTATATTTCTTAATATACAAATTCATTTAATATAAAACTTCTTTCATTTAAAAGTAGGCTTGCAAATATTTTCAAAGACATATATTTCATTCAAAATAGATTTTATATGAAATAGTTATAATTTTTAAAATTTGGTTGTTAATGCACCCAAATCTTCTAAAAAAAGCTACTGACCTATGCTCACCATTTTAGTCATATCTTTCTACCTACATTGAATTTTGAACTAGGCCTTATTTATTTGGAAACTAGACATCTAAATCTTTAGGTCATTTTCTTGATTTGGATTTAAAATGAAAGAGTTATGTTCATTAGAAGTTGACCGACAAACTTTATTCCAAATTAGAGTTCATATTTTGAAACAATGTGCCTTATTCGGGAATAGCCAGTCTTATTTGCAAATAAGCTTGCTTATTCCAAGATAAGCATAAATTCTAATGCTCTGTTTCTTATGTGAATAACAGGGGATTTTTGAAACTCCTTCTAATCCCTTTATTTCACCTTTTGAGTGTTGTGTTTATTCTATAACCTCGTTAAAGTCCTTCAAACACAACTTTAGCTAGGATTAAACTCTTAATGTCTTTTTTTATAATCCTTTATTCCCAATTAGCTAAGAAACATGTAAGTTTTTCTTGTATCTATTCATATAATATTTCTATCTAAAGATTAAGTATTTGACTTTATCTTAATTCCTTAAGGATCTCTTGTATTGCTTGAAAGTTATCTCAAGTGAATTTAAAATCAAAAATTCAAAATTCAAAGGACATAGCTCTATAGTAAAGTTGTTAAGTTTGCGAGTTTATGTAAACTCATGGTGATGTAAATTTAAAACATATACTCAGATCATAAATTCATAAAAGTTCACCTCTATTAATAAATAATCTTTAAATGTAAATAATTAAATAATTAAAATATAAAATATGATCAGAATTTAGTTTAAATATATTTCAAATATAAATTATTGAAATTAAATCTATCTACATCCCTAGATAATTATACTCAACATAGAAATTTCAAAATAGGGCAACTTTTTTTTGGTATTTTTTGTTTTCTTTTTTATCAATATTACTTTTGTATTTTTTGTTTTATTTTTTATTAAATCAAATCTAATCGCTGCCATCAAATTCTATATACCTATCTTGCTTAGTGAGTTTATGAGCGGGTTGACATAATTTTATAAGTTAAAAACATAAAACAGTAAATTCAAATAGTTAACTCATAAGTTTAATCAAATTTTATCTAATTTAAATTTATAAACGAGTTAATATAATTATGTAAATTAAAAATATAAAAATAATAAATTTATAAAATCAACTCAGGAGTTTGATAATAATATTATTTTAATCTTGTGCATTAATTGCCATTTGCCAGCTTGGAAACATCCCCGCATGCTTTGATCACCGCGATCTCTGGGGGCTCTTACCGATGTTACGTTTGTCATTATTTAAAGTGGGATGTTATTATGAAATTGAGATTTGATTGTTTTATTCATAATTAGTGATTTTTTTAAAGAAGAAACTTTAAGAAAGCTAAATTTAAAATTATAAACAAATGAAATTATAATATATAATAATTTGATGTCATAAAAAATTTTAAAAATTACATAAAATTTAAAATATGTTAGT